AGAGAGTTGTGACATGAGACTTGACGACATTGGATCCAGACTCGACATTGGGATTCAGACATTTTGACGAGGGACTATTTGGGCCTGTGCTGAACACTTGGTGTTGACGACATTCCCATCTTCCCTTCTTCTTCGTCTAACCCCACCTCCTTCGTCTGTGTATGGTTGGGGCTGGCGTAGTCTTCTTGTGTGAAGCGCCAGACCCCTTCGCACCATGATGATAATGATGTATGTTCGGGGCTGCATTACAATATTGATTGTTCGGATCATTGGTATCTAAGTCTTCCGCTGTGCTATCTTATACCTTGTATTGAAAGGTCGGTTCTTGTTCTGGTCTGCACCTATACGGTATGCAACAACAAGCTTTGGAGGTGAGTAGAAACGTTTGAATTTGAAGTCGTGCCAGGCAGGGAATGATGCTCGCCGAAAAAGCTTGAGGGAATTTGGAAGAGAACCGGGCCCGTATCCTGGGCTGGCCGCACAAATGGCAAGTGTACGACGGGGGGCGGGGGCGGCAGTGTCCGTTCAAGTGGACCATTTCTGTGTCCGTTAAAGAACCCGCCCAACCAAAAGCACCTATACCCACGTGAAACCCACGGAGGATACGGGAAGGTGGGAGGTGGGGTCCCCCGTTTTCTTTTATGGGTAGACGGGAGCAGGCCCACCTGTTTCGTTACTTTTACGGATTCGTAGGGGCTGATCCGACTACTGCTACGGAGCGTAGTCTACTGGTTTTGACGGGATCCGACTACTTTCCGATTTTGTAGGTCTCCCCGTCGAGTTCGGCAGCAAGTGAAAACAAAAGTGTACGTGGCAAGTGTTCCGCGACCCGCAGCGAAAAAGAAGTTGCTTAAATCGGTAGAAGCCAGCACCGTCCCCGCATCGAAAAAGAAAGCGTTTTTTTTGGTTTTTCTTGTGTCCGGTGGTCCGCCTTCCGTCTGTTCGATGCTGGGCCTGCATGCCCCGCCCACGATTACCCGGCACGAACTTCGAAAAAGTCCCACCCCAATCGGGCAAGTGGGATGCAATTTCGCTTTTTCGGTCCGACCGGCACGGGGCCGAGCAACGCGGGTCTTTTTGGTTCTCCCCTTCAGACGTAGTAGTCGGATCAGCCCCTTATTCCGTAAGTAGTGTGGGATCAGACCCTATATCCCGCCTCGCTTCCCCTCCCCTCCTTTAGCGTCCTCTTGGCAAACGGGTATCTTGGCCCTTGTCATGCTCAAGGGTGCCCTGAACTGCGCTACTTACTCTGATGCACAGCTAGTCGTGAGCCATGTTTTCCTAACACCCAAATGGGCACCAACGCCGGGCCCGAGTATGCCCGCCCACGCCTCATTTCACCCCCATCATTCCAGGGTCTGATCCTTGATGCAGGCTATGCACATCGAGGGCACCACTACATTTTTTCTATTTTTTTGGGGTAATTTGCAAACAAAATAACCTCATAAGTTTAGATATATGCCAAAATGAGCCGAATGCTCTTTTGGGCCGAAATCTGTGTTGCACCCCTGTCAGGCGGGTGTGCAACTTTGCAATGTGGACCTCCCCGTTGGGCCTTGGCCCTTTGCAATAGCAACTAGGAAAAGTTTGCGAGTACTAGGGCATGTTGCAAAGTTGGATGGTACCCGGTAGGGGTGTATTGCAAAGATGGGGGTCCAACCGACACCAAGGGTATTTCACAAAATCTTTTTTGTCAGAGGGGCATTCGGCTCTACCCACTTTTTGAGGGGCATTTTGGCATGTATCTCAACTTATGGGGGTATTGTGCAAATTATCCCCTCTTTTTTCATTTTTTTTTTGAGGAAAACTCGTCTTTTATAAAAGTCGGGAACTGGGCCCGACGTCCCTTACAAAAACTGGGTGGGGCCCCAGTGAGCAAGGCATCACCGGCCAAGCACATAAAGGGCAGCACTACATTACACCCTATAATTCAGAATGATTTTATTCTGGCCATCCAACTGTAAACTGGATTTGGACTTCGGTCTGTATTTCAACAGTCCATGTGTGTACCAACTAAGATAGGCCTGTTGGTTCGGCTCTGCCTTTTACTTGGAACTTCTACCTCTCTACCCCCAGATTTTACCCCTCGACATACCTGCATAAGGCTCCTTCAGCCAGCATGTGGCCGGCCGGGCCCTGGAATCTAACGAGGCCCAAGTTCGTCAATTTTCCAAAGCTTTGGTGAGCGCCAAACAGTTGCCACGCACCAGTTGGTTACACCTGCCTCGCTCGTGAGAATCAGAAAAAAATTGTGAGCCCTCTAGGCTCTTCCTGCAACGTGGGAAGGCAGGGAACACCACACGTTTGCGCCTGGGTGGTTGGGGATGCCTAACCAATTTGGTTCCAGGCTATTGTCTTAACCGGCTTGGGCGCAGACTCCACTTTGGGAGAATCGGAAGCTACTGAAAGCGCGCGCGCCCCTGCCCAGGTGAGGAGATCCCAACTTCTCTCCATATAGGAAAGCAGCCAGGCCGTGAAGGGTGGTAGCAGCCAGGCCGTGAATGGTGGTCATGCACCTGGCTCGTGATGCGGCAGCGCTGCCACTATGAGTGCTCTGGCCGCTAGCACTAGCACTAGTGCTTGAGCACGCACGGGGGCATAGAAGAAAGGTGGGCGCTGCAAGGAAGCAGCGCCATAGCCCGGGACGCCTTACCCGAGCCTGGGGCTAAATAGCTGGTGGGGATAAGGCGGTGGTCTTCGGGTGTGAGGAGACGTGGGTGTAGAAGACGAGGGTGAGGAAGAGAGGGCGAGTGAATGAGGTAATGTGTGGGCACGTACCTTGTCTTGGCAGGTGTCTGTGCGGTCAACATCTGCATGTACTTCGGTTGCTGCTGATGATGTCAACTGGTTGTTTCATTATTTGTAGAATGGTAGAAGTGCTGTGTGATCCTAGTATGGGCACTGAGCGCCAAGTAGGAAGAAGAGCGTCGATTGTATTGTTGGTGGTGGTGAGACTATGCTTTCATTGACAATTGAGTTCGATGCTTTGGTTCTCCTTCGGTGCTTCATCAATGCATCTGCTTCCTGTACAATTTTCGACTATCTGGTTTTCATTGTGATTTTGCAATCTGGAATTCTATACTTCGCTATTGCTCATTCTCCTTGGAGTACGGTCATTATAGTTGTATGTACCTTTCAGTCGAAATACATCAAGAATGACCGTCCATTCTATTCAGGTGAAGAACCGTGAATGTCCAAGTGAAGAGAGTCAGCCAAACGCAAGTGCAGGTCGAGAGAAACTGCTTGGGTTATCTTTCAGTCTAAATACAGCAACAATGACCGTACATTATATTCAGGTGACGAACCTTGAATGCCCAAGTGAAGAAATTCAACCAAAAGTGACTGCAGGTCGGCGGTAACTATGACTTTCGAGAGGTAGCCAATCACCTCATCAACCAATAAGGCCCGTGCTTGATCATACTACTGAGATCATTCCCAATGTCCCTCACTGACCCGAATCCCGCGTGTGTCCATATGCGTATGGTTGGAGATCATCATCATCATCACTGACTAAGATCATAATCATCGTCGAAGACCATCACCAGAGAATATCAGCATCATCACCATTTCATCATCATCACCAAACAGTATCATCGTCATCTATCTGGAGCACTTGTGGATCTATAGGGAACAGTCACGAAGAACCTTTAGGGGTGCTTGGAAAACCTTTTTTTTTTGAAACAAAGCGTCTGCTGCTGGCCAACCACGGAGAAGGTGATAAGAGCATCACCCCGGTTTGCAAGCCGCTATTAGATGGCTCCAATCTATTCATGGGGAGCTGCACATGCTGGAAATTGGGTCCAAAATCCCTGTGACAATTTGTAGTATGTTAAAAATATTTTGATGGGATAGCTGGCACAGAGCAGGGTGCTTGGAAGACCTTTGCTGACTAGGAGGATGCACAATT